CTTAATTGATTTTTTCAATAATTCAGTATCATCTTTAACTTTGACTCCTTCCATTTTCATCAATGCTGTTTTAATGGCTTTCCTTTCGACTATTTGTTTAGCTTCATCTATCTTACCTTCTTCTTTAAGATTTTTAACCATTTTTTCTTGTTCTTTTAATTTTTGCAACATTATTTTCGGATCTACTTTAGGTTTTTTTAAATCTGTTTTTTTAGCACCCAAAACAGAGAAATCAAATTTACTATAAATAACTTGACCTTCGCTATTAAGTACAGGTTTTTGCTTTTTCGGAGCCACATCTCCATTTTCACTTTTTATATTTTTCGGCATTTTTTGTCTTCTTCTTTCTTTTTTAGCTTTTTTTAATAATTTATTTTTTAAACTTTTTTTTAATAGTTTATCCTTGTATGACAATTTTGGTACTCCTTTTAATTTGGAGAGTCGTGCAAGCAATTCTTCAGGTGTTTTTGCAGGTTGCTTATCATTTTTTAATGCAGGATTAAGCCTGGGAGCTATAGAATGGGAATCAAAATTAATAAGTTTTATTGTGATTGCAGGGGTTTTTTACTTCAACTAATTTTTTTACTTACGTAACTCATCTAATTTAAAAGCTTTATCATCATTAGAATCATTTCCTAAAAAAAAACAAAAAGCACTGTATGGTCATTACTGTACAGTAATTAGGATCCCACATTTTAAAACCTAACCTTACCATTTTCACTTTTTGATGGATTCGCATATTGTTGTAATAAATCATGAATAAAAGAATATTTTTCCGTATAAAATTTTTCCATTTCTTTTATTTGAGCTTTTGTAAATATTTTATTTTTATGTTTTCCTTTTAATTCCATTTTTATATCTAAAAACTAACCTAAAGTAGATTTTAAAATGTTTATACTTTTATGATGGCGACAAGTCGTAGAAAGGATATTTGTCGACATTGGGCTAAAAATAAGTTATTATTATTTTAATTTCTTTTACGGTTAATATGCGCTAGTTTAATTTGCCATACGTTAGTTTATTAAAAGAATAAAAAATGAATTCGGTGTGGAAATTTTCCGTTATATCCGGGACGGCAATCACTTCTTATTTTCTAGGAAGATATCAAACTAGTTTAGAAAATGTTACAGATTCTAAAAAAGAATTTAACTTTCCATTTGTACCTAATATTTTTGCTGCTTCTCCACTTATTGAAGAGAATCAAGTTAAATCCCATATAATTTCTTCTGGACAGGATGGTGAAATTAATTCTACAAAAAAGGAAAATGAAAGCATTCCTGTAGCAGTGAGAGTATCTCAGGTGAGCTTTGTACCATCTTAATCGTAATCATTTATTTTCTTTCAAAAATATATGTTGATAAATTATAACAGGTTATGAAATTCGGTTTTCCTAGTTTAGACAACGTTCGATCCTTTGACGATTTTGTACTTTCCTACGACAGAAGGAATAGAGTTGCCAATTGGGTATTTGAACATTTAACTAAAGAAACCGTTAAATTTAACCCTGATGTTGATAGGTCAAAATGTGAATTTTTTGAAGATAATTCAATTCATCCATATTTTAGGTAATAAGGACATTAAATACTTATTTTAAATTTCAAAATTCATAATCTATTTAAATATTTAATAGTTAATTTTCCATGTTTGATATCATTGTTTAAAAATATATTGTAAATAATGAATATACAAATTTTTGTTTCAGGTCGAAAAATTCAGATTACAAGAATAGTGGTTTTGACAGAGGACACTTAGCAGCTGCTGGAAATCATAAATGGAATCAAAAGCAATGTGAGCAAACATTTGTACTATCAAATATGGCACCACAAGTTGGTCATGGTTTTAACAGAGACTATTGGAATAAATTAGAAAAACATGTTAGAAAATTAACAAAAAAATATTCAAATGTTTATGTTTGCACAGGACCATTATATTTGCCTAAGTAAGTAAGGAATTATTTCAATTAAAAAACTTTTTCTTAACTACTTCATATTTTTTATTTTAATTATTAATTGAATTTAACTAAAATATTTTTAAACCTGTCAAATTTTTATTTTAATTTAAATCCATAGTTAAGAATAAAATCTCATACAGTTTATTTAAAAATGTATTATTATTATTATTATGTCTCAAGTTTCATTTTATAATCTAAGCTTTATTAAGAAGCAGAATAAAATAATATTACTAGGTGTATTTCTATTAATTATTATTATTATTATTATTTTTTTTTTTTGAAGAAAAGAAGCAGATGGGAAAAATTATGTGAAATATCAAGTTATTGGAGCCAATACTGTTGCTGTTCCTACGCACTTTTTTAAAATTGCCGTGATGGAAACATCAGATTCAAACTTTGAAATGGAAGCTTACGTACTGCCAAATGATAAAATAGATGATAGTATTCCACTCAATAATTTTCAGGTAAGTTATCATTTCTTTTATTTATATAATTTTTGCTCCAAGATGAAAAATTTACAATAAATTCAATTTTCTTTCGATTTGCGCTACATAAACTTCTGGAAGTCTGTTTTGCTTGACATTTTCCATTTTTTTCTGAAATATTTGTTTCAAATCATGTTTTCTCTTGGCTTCTTCTGCTTTCAAAGCAACTCCTTCTTGGAATTTCTCTTTACGTTCATCTATTCTCTCTTTTTCCTTTTCATTAATTTGTCTTAAAATTTCCTCTCTGTACTTTTCTAAATCATATTTTTTTTTAATCTCCAAAAGTCTTTCTTTTTCTTGAAGTTCCATTTGAATCCTCACATTTTTTTCAAATTCTCTTTTTTCCCTAACAATTTCCATTGCTTTAAACCTTCTGTTTTCTATTATTTGTTTATCTCTTGCCAGTTTGCAATCTTCTTCCATTTTTCGTCTTTTCAATGCTGCTTCTTTCTCCCTTTTTCGCCATTCCCTTTCATATTCCTCATGTCTTCTTATTGCATTTATAGCATCTTGTTGAGCTTGTAAATCTTCTGCTTGCATTTGACGTCCCGTTTGGCGAGTGTATTCAAATTCTTTTGCTCTTTTTATTTGTTCTTTTTCTTTTTCAAATTTTTCTTCCCTTTCTGCTTTCAATCTCATGTATTCTTTAATTTTTAAATCTTGCAACCTTTCTTCTTCTTTTTCCAATGCTTTTGTTTTTTTCATTTGCTCATTTGCCATATTTAAACATTCTCGTAATTGTCTCTTTTCCTCATCTTTTTTTTTTAAATTTTCAAATTCTTCAAGCATTATTGCAAACATTGCTTCATTATTCTTTTTCTGTTCCTCAATCATGAGTTCTGCATTTAATAGTCTGTGAGCTTCCAAGTCTTCCACTTGTTCATTAAGCTCCTGCACATACCTTTGTTTTCTCGCTTTTTCTTCATCTAGTTTTTTTTTCTCTAGCATAAGTTCTCTAGTTCTATTATCTTCCATCATTTGTTCCAATCTCTTGTTTTCTTCCTTTAATTCCCTTTCAATTAATTTATGTTCCAGTAATTGAGCATCTCTTATAGCTTGGCATTTGGCTTGAAGAATTAAGGAATTCATGTATTTTACATCGTCTTCATCTTCTTGACGAAGCTCCCAAGCTTTTTTTAGTAAATAATTAGCTTTGTCTCTGGCTTCTTTTTCCAAAGCTGACAATCTACCTAGTTTCCCACAGCTCCTTTAATATCAAATTGCTGTAATTCATACTTTCTCGCAGCACATTCATGCTCAAGCCTTATCTGTCCGCTCTCGCTCTCAATCATTTTCAAATTTTCTTTTTCTGTCACTACTAAAGCATTCGCTCTCAAACGATTCATTTCTTCATCTTTGATTTTTATAGGATAATAATTTGTATTTTTCGAAGGAACTACCAATTCTTGTATTCCCTCATTAGTTATTATTTTCACCGTTTCTTTTCCTTCCAAAGCTGTTCTCTTTGTTATTTTAGATTTATCATTATTTATATCTCCAGTTAAAGGTGTCACTTGTAGACAATTTTTATGAAAATCATTATATTTTAATTTTGGACAAGACATTTCAGCATATAATTAAGAATAAACACTTTCACCAATAATAATAATAACAATAATAAAATTAAGAATATTTATAAAAATAACTATAAAAAACTTAAATACATTATACACAAAAGGGGTGTTGTTTACTGGTTGCCAGGTAGCAACTTTAATGAAAAACTTTATTAAGTGCTTGAATAATTTTTTTTATCGTAGGTTCCACTGGAAAGCATTGAAAGAGCATCTGGATTATTATTTTTTGATAAATTACCAAAGAATAAATTAAAAAAAATAAATGGTAAAAGTTCAGGTGGATGGTTTTAGATTTAAATTTTCTATTAGTAACTTTTGTTAGTTCCAATTTTGGTTAATTGTAGTATTTATTATTATTATTATTATTATTATTATTATTTTTGACGTTGAATGATTGTTTTATTAATGTTGAGAATTTTGTAAATTGGGTTGACAAACATAGTATTATGTTTTTATTCATAAATTGAATTTGTTTTTAAAAAAAATGTTTATTCGTGTATTTTTTAATCGAATGAAATACAATTGTCAGATAAACTGAAAAAACTAGTCTTTACAATTGATTGTGCACTTATCACTTGTTAAAAAAAAAAAAAAAATTTGAATGATGTTAATAAAAATTTAATTTATAATAAATATATATATATTTATATCAATTATAAATTTTTAGTCTTATTATATTGATAAAGTTTAAATAGTTTTTAAAAAGCTAATTTTTTAATTAGCAGATATAAATGTTGATCTACTTCAAAACCGTGCAAATTATTAGCATCTCCTTGTAACCGCATTAACAATCCGCCAAAAGAAACATACGCCGCTAAACGACTCGATGTTTCTGGACTACTATCATCTCCTTCTATTCTATAATTTAAACCGTACATTACATATTCAAAACTGTCAGCACGGGAGCCTTCATTATCTAAAGGATTCCATTCTCCACTATCTGGATATCCATCTTCCCTCAATGTTGTGGCGAGTACTAACCTAAACTTGTCTCCTAATTCCATGGGATAGAGCCAGGTATTAACATCTAAAATTAAGTCCATTTTGAATGATTCACTTTCGCAATGCAATCTACTAACTCTATCAAATTTTCTGCCTTCTGGATCTATGTCTTTTACGTTAAAAATATCTTCAAACAAAACACCAGCCATTGTTTAATAAATTTAAATCAGATGCTTTGTCGCGGGAAATTTGTCGCATTTAATTAAACTTAGTACATTTACGTTTATTTTTGGATTTAGGGTGGACAAATAAAGGAACTGCGAAATTAATTTGTAAGATAATTTAATTTAACTATTACATTATAAGAATTCCTTCATAATTAGAAATTAATCTTTAAAAAATATTTTTAAAATTTTGATTTTATTTAATGTAATTTTTACTTTTAGTTTATAGTATTCTTATAGGTAATTGACCCTTAATAACAAGCCAGCTGTACAATTAGAGGAAGGGCTGGTAAAATGACATGCTCAAATCAACTTTGTGGCAAAATACTTAAAAAAGAATTAAATATGAAATGAATATTACGTTATTTATCTCATTATTGTCAGATTTTTAGCTTATTTCTCCAATTAAAACATATTTAATTGAGAAAAACTAATTGTTAATTATTAATTATAGGTGTTAAATTAAATCCAGTTTTGAAATGTCTGCTCCAGAGCAAGAGCTTAAAAGACTTCTACATTTCGGTCGTGAAATCCCATTTTATCAACCTGGAGATAGAGTTAAAAATGAAGTTTATCATTCCTGTGTATCCAACACAATTGAAAATCTACTTGCAGGAGAAAAAATTGCTGACATTGCTAATTGTATAGTAAAGGCTTACAGTGATGGATATTCAGCTCATCCTTCTATGCTTGTATATGCTCTTGCAGTTTGTGCAAAACAAAACACAAACCCTCAATTGAGAGAAGCTGCATATAAAGCTCTTAAAACTGTTTGTTCATCATCGGAAAATCTTTTTCTATTTATTAAATTTGCAAAAAAATTGTCTCAAAATGATTCTAGTAAGTTTTTATTATCATGTAAGTTTACTTGTTTATTCTTGAATTTTTTTTAATTTTTTGAAATATAATTTTAGTTTGGGGCAGTGGATTCAAAAAAGTTTGCAAAGAATGGTATCTTAAAAAAGATGTTAAGACTTTAGCTGAAATAGCTGGAAAATACAAAAAATGCAATGGTTGGCTGCACAAGGACATTATCAAATTGATACATTTAAAACCTGATACACCTGGTAAAATAAAAAATATTATTTTTTTCTTATGCTTACAATTAAAAAAAAATTTGTTTTTTAATTTTTGAAATTTTTTTAAGGTAGAGCAGCTATAATAAAATATTTATTATTTGGAATAAAAGCTGCAAAAAAAGAATTTGGGGAAAATTCTGAAGCTCATGAAATATTAAATTATTTACAAACTGTCGAAGATTTAAAACATTTGACTGATGAGCAATTGGCTGCTAGAAGTGTAGAAATCCATCATTTTACAATCGATCATGTTCCCCCTCATTTACTAAAGTCAAAAGAGGTATGCATTTGTCATTATCAAACATATAATTTTATTTATTTCTTTATCATTAAACTTCATTTGATGTCACACATTAGGTTTGGGGTGCTTTAAGTGGTAACCTTCCACTGCCTGTACTACTCAAAAATTTAGAAAGAATAGGTACTCTGGGATTTTTAAAACCAAACTCAGTCTTAGTAAATAAAATTATAGATGCTATTAAGGATGAAAATGCCATCGCTGAATCTCATTTACACCCTGCTCACGTTTTTGTAGCTCTTCAGAATTATGAAATGTCATTCAAATTTGTGTGAGTACATTACGAGTAAGGATTCTTATTTAATAAAAAACTAGTCATGATGATAATAATAAAAATGTAAATTTTATTTTTTTTTCAGAACTGCTGAAAACGCGAGGAAAAAATGGCGGATGGAAAATGGGAGAGTAGAACCTAAAAAAGTTGCAAAATTGCCCACGATACCGAATCCGAAAATTATTTGTGCACTCCATGAACTTTTCGCATCGACTTGCAAATTGTTTTTACCTCCTACTGGATTAAGATATTCAGTAGCAATCGATTTAAAGAGTTTAAAAACAACCGATAAATGTTATCGTTGCACTCAAGTGACATCCGCCGAAGCGAGTATAATTATAGCATTCTGTCTTCTTCATGCAGATCGTGAGGTATCCGTTTCCGTGGCGAACGTCGAAGAAGAACTTTTACCTCTCGAATTGACAAAAAATATGACGATATCAAATGGGATTGAAAAATTAAAACAAGTAAGTTAAAACTCAAATTGTTACACATTATTATTAATAATTTATGTTAAGCACATGGTATTTCATTTCAATAATTACATTTTCCCCTTTTTAGTCGCGAATGCAACGTATGAAAATATGTACTCCCGTTGAATGGGCATCGAAACAGAAAAAGGAATATGACGTTTTCGTTGTAGTGACGGATACAAATCACAAAGGTATAAGCAATGCCATTACCGTGCTTCAAAATTACAGGAAAGAAATGAATATACCAAATGCTAAGTAAGTTAATAACAAAAAAAAAAAATTAATTGTTTTGATAAATAGATAATTCAGTTTACATTTTTAGGTTTTAAAAAAAAAAACCTTAAATTCCATCGATAATCGTTTTTTTTATTTTTTTTTAATCAGGTTAATATTAGTAATGCTCAAGTGTCATTTCGAACCATCTTGGATAAAGGAAATAAAAGATCCCGGAGTTTTTGTTATCGGTGGATTTGATGGAAACGTACCCAGATTAATCGAAGCATTTAGCAGGGGAGCATTTTAAATTACAAAAAAAAGTGTCGAGTATAATTTAATTAATTTTAATTTGTTGAATGGAAGTACACACGCAAATGCTGCTGGGAAGGTACGAACGAAGGTCTTTTAAATCGAAAGAAAACGTTTTGGACATTTAATGGTAACCAATCAATTTGGTATGTAAGTCATTTACTTATTATTTATTTATTAACCGCATTCAATTTTAACTTTTCATCAAGTCATTATTTAATGATCAATCAATCAATCAATCATTTTAAGATTAAGTTCATATAATAATCGTTTTCGTTTACAGTATTTTATACATTATTTT